TTCGGGTTGGAGCTGGGGGTTGGGCTAGGATCGGTATGCTCGCCTCGAAATACTGATGCATTAACCCTTTTGAAACTCTTCAATGGTGTCCTATCCACCATGCCATGCCGTGAGCAACGTTATCCGCAGCCTGGTTTGCTCACATGTACAAACTTGCGACGGCCGTAATATCCCTTTTGATCATTTCCTGCGCCGCCTGCATTTTTTGATATAACTCGGGGTCGCCAATGATGCGGGCTGCATTTTTGACTTCACGACAAGTTTCATCCAGCCGCGTGATTGTCCTTACAATAGTACCTTCAAGGACATCCGTTAGGTCTGTGATATTTTTGAAGCTCATGCCCCGAGCCCACTCGTACACGACTTCCATAAGACCAAAGCGGCGTTGTGAGACGAAGTCATTGCTATCCTCAGTGTTCTGGATCACTTGTCTATCCGTTTGCACCGTGTTAACCCTCTCGCTAATCTCGATAATGGTTTTCATGCCGCGCTCGAGTTTACTAGTGAGGTTCGGTTCCGACTGTGTCTTCTCTTGAAAAACAAATGCCGATAGTAACGCCGCAATCTCGGCAGGCTCGTAGTCGGCGAGCACATTCTCAAGAATAAGCTCAGTGAGCACCAGCTCATCAGCTGAATGAATCTCACAAGCTACTTTGCCTTTGAGTAGGATACGAGTGTCTACGTCAACAAATGAGAGGTCTTTAAGGACCTCGATGCGCTGCTCATAGTCGGGAAGAAGCTGGAGGTTTTGATCTGAGAGGGCTTGACGCAAAGAGGAAATATGCTCCTTGATCAGCCATTGGTCGTGACACATAGCAAACTAAGATATTAGCACCCGACAGCAGGATAGGCGTATTGGAGACTCACGTGTTTTAGGAACTTGGTACAATATACTGTAGCCGTCCTGTCGATGATCGCAACCGCTTGCTGACGTTTCTGGATGATTTCCTGCAAATGGAAGTTCCTGATATTCGCAAAGCTTACTTCGTCGAATGCATCAGACTCCCAGCTCCTGCACAGCTTATACATCCTATCTCTCGCCTTTAATTTACTCTCGGTACCCTGAAAGAAATCGGGAACAATCCCATCAGCTAGTGTCGTTGTGAGGCACTCAATATCACTCAAGGGGACGTGTAGCGTCTTAGCCACGATGTTCTTTTTCAGTTGAGGTAATGGCTTGAGAAGTGACCGAAAGCTCTTGATGAATGGTAGTAAGTCTGACGAATCGCGCGTCCCCTGCTTGGGCCCGATCTCAAGTACGTGGACAGTTGGCTGACCGTTAGATACCTTCATACTAACACCTGCGCTGAGTAGAATGCCGAGAGTGCGGACACCATCTTTGCTCCAAACAATCAAGCGATTTGGGGAGAATAGCTTCTTGCCGACAGGTATACCCAGGAGACCTTTGAATAGATCCTGTGTGAGTTGTTTGTAATCCATAGATGCCTGGAGACATTGATCTATATCTTTGTCGCAGATCTGACAAGACTCTCGCTTGATTTTGGCGAGATCTGCTTCACCAAGTTTAACAGCTTTCTCGTGTTCCGGTAGAAGTTGTTGGGTGGCATGCTCGGAGAAACTACGCTTAATCATCTCTTCGATTTTCAATGCTTCTACGCGAAGCAAGTTCAGGATCATGTTGTAGGTCAGTCTGAACTGAGACTGTAACTTGCTAGGCGGATCTAGAATCATCTTTTGTAGGTCAATCACAGGTGGTGCCTCATCACCACCCCCCGGGGGGACAATGATGACAGACCCAACCGGATCTAGACCACGACGACCAGCTCTGCCGGCCATCTGAGTATATTCCCCTGGAAGAAGATTCCGGAACGAATGGCCATCGTGTTTTCGGTAGCCCGAAAACACGACCGTTCTTGTAGGTAGATTCAGGCCCATGGCAAAGGTTTCCGTAGCGAAGAGTACTTTGACCAGCGTTTGAGCGAAGAGAATCTCCACTATTTCCTTAACTATGGGCAATAGTCCTCCGTGGTGCACGGCGATACCTCGGCTGAGAAGCCCCCGCAGACGAATAATCTGAGGGAGAACTCTATCTTCTGGGCGTAATCGTGCGATGGACTTTTGTATGATCATGTGAATGTGACTCTTTTCTTGGGCCGTGCAGAAGTCTTGATTGCTGAGAGCATCGGCATTTTCTTCACATCTCTTCTTGGAGAATACGAAAATACAGGCAGGCAAAAGACTCTGCTTTTTCAGGAACTGAACGAGGTGAACCCATAAGTTCTTGTCTTGAGCAGCAGACGTGAAACCGCCGGGTCGTCCTGCGCGACCCATATGGCCCGGTCCGTGGGCTGCCCGCGGAGGGCCTCCTCCGCCTCGCTGGCCGCCACCACGCTGGCCGCCACCGCGTTGTCCGCCGCCACGTTGGCCACCACGTTGTTGGCTGGCCCCGCGTGCGTTACCTCCCCCACGGCCACCGCGCTGCTGCATGCCTCCTCCCCGAGCTGGGGGTGCTGGGAGGGCCTTATCCCTGCCACGCATGGCTTGGTCGGCCTCTTTCCAGCCTTTTTCTTGAAAGCTCTTTTTGTGGTCCACGATCTTGTGGATATTATTACCGGCCCAGAGATAATGCTCAAGAGGCACTGGCCGCTTGGGTGTGGAAATAACATAAATGTCTTTCTGCTTCGTTCTTCCCACCCAGGATGCAAACTCGTATGTGTTGGGTACGGTTGCCGATAATAGAATGAGTGTTACATGTTCGGGCAACATGATGATGACTTCCTCCCAGACAACACCCCGCTCGAAATCGTTCACGTAGTGGACCTCGTCGAAAATGACAAACTCGACATCACGAATTAAGTCAGCGCCCCTGTAAAGCATACTCCGCAGAATTTCGGTCGTCATAATCAGGCAACTAGCCTCGGGGTTAATTTGGACATCGCCGGTCAGAATACCGACTTCGTCAAAGGTGTCCCGGAAGTCTCGGAACTTCTGATTACTGAGAGCCTTGATAGGCGAAGTATAGATGGCCTTGGTCATATGTCTTGCCGCCAGGGCAATGGCATACTCAGCCACGACGGTTTTGCCAGCTGAGGTATGGGCCGCGACGAAGACAGAGTCACCATTCTCCAAATGATAGACAGCTTCCTTTTGAAATGTGTCAAGTTCAAAGGGCCATTCTTTCGCCATGTCCGGCACCAGCTCCCGAAAATTGGGTATATCTCTATTAATATCAACCATATGGGCCCATTCGCGACCGGCTTTTCTCGCACTAGAAGCGGCCAGATTCGCGTGCGGCTGTAGGGCGGGAAACTCAACGGGCAATAAGGCGTCAATATCTTCGTCATCCCCGCCGTTCAGGGTGTCATCGCCATCGTCGTCAATGCCATTGGTTTCTACGTTCCCGTCAACTTCGTCTTTCTCAGGGCTCTCTTCGGGCTCTTGGTCCAATTCAGCTTCGATTGCTTTCGCTTCCTTCTCATTGACAGCGGACTTCTTCTTGGTGAAGTCGATACCCCGGTCCAGACCGGGGGCGACTTCAAGAAGGCGGTGTTCGGCACCAAGCGTAATGACGCGCTCGAGCTTACTCTTGGAGGATGCATCGGCTCCAGAACCAGCAGTGGATCGTAGCATCTGGTCTTCCAACGCGGCGGTTGCCTCGACGCTTTCTAAACCGCCCGGAGAAAAGGGGAAGAAACCTGCGGCGCCTCTCACGAAGTCGGCTCGACTTCCGGGTTTGCGGGAGAGGGACGTCGAGTTCTTCGCCGTCGCACTATTGGCGGGTACGGTGACATTCTTATAGCCAGTTACTCTACCCTCCAAGCCCTGCCTCAAAAAACGGGTGACGGTTCGGGTTTGTGTAGGGGCGATGGAAAAGAGCTCGGTTAGGTCAGCAGGGCAGTCCCATCGCTGCTGGAGGCGGTTGAGCCATTCGGTAGAGAACTTGTTTGAGGGCGTAAGATATTTCCGCTCGAGCTCGGCTTTTAGTTCGGCGGGGTCCTGCTTCACGCGCTTGGTTGGTCTTTGCTGGAATAAGATGTCGTCGATGTTGAAGTCGTTCGAGGCGGGACTCGCAAGACAAAGGTTTTGCATGGCTTCCACGAGCCCAGGATCACCGGTAGAGGCCATGACGAGAACAGGTCACAAACCTCAATCTAGGCAAGCCCAGGATATGAAAGCAGAAGCAGAAGCAGAGGAAAAAGAAGAGAAGACGGGGGATGAACCTGAAGCTGACGAGACCCAGATATGTAACATCATGGGTTTGTTTGTAGGGGTAGAGGAGAGAAGGGAAGGGAAGGAGAGGGGAGTTTGCGTTTGTGCACTCACGGAGCGCTGTTGTTGCAAATGTCAGGCAGGCGCAGACCGGTATCTAGAGACATGCGGAGCGCCGATAACGTGGGGTTACCGACCCTGCCCTTCTGATCGGCCACATCACTCAGCTCCCCAACAGCCACCGTCGAACCGCTATCTGGGAGTAACGGGCATTCACTAAACTCCACTATTGGCCGAGATGGTTTGGCGGCCCGATATGGTTGGCAGCACGCTGGAGCCCACTGTATCCGCCTAGAGTTATAGCGTGTCATAGCCGCTGATCGGCGCCGGGTTGGCATTGGGCAACTGGCCCCTTTTTACTGACCGCGAACCTTCACACTGGCGATTTCAACAAAAGCAAAGGCATTGCGATGGCTGGAAGGCACCGGCAGAGATACCCAAAGTGCAGTGAAAGTGCGGTAGGGTAAAGTAAAAAGGTCAACCACGGTGCCCTTCACAGGTAGTAGTACTATGCTAATGAGATGGATTTACAGTCTGCCTTTGGGAGATAGATTTCTGGTCTATTAGTATCGTGTTAGTTATTAGGACTGTTTCGAACAGACACTGCCGAGGGGAATAGAATTCGAGTCTATCACCCAGGGCCTGATTCAAACAGGCGCTCCGAATAAGATGGATTTACAGTCTGCCTTTGGGCGACAGATTTCTAGTCTGTTATCGCATTCTGAGGCCTGATTTGACCAGACGCTCACGACAGTGGTGGATTTCCAATCTACCACAGGGCCTGATTCGAACGGGCACCTTCGAAGGAGATAGATTTCTAATCTATCGCATTGAACCACTCTGCCACCTGGCTGTTGTTGGAATACGTCGATACAATGTCGTGTGACTAAGGGAGTGAGACCAAAAAGGAGAGGGGAAACAGGGAACGGAGAAAGACCCCCCCGGAAAAAAGAAAAAAAATCTCGTTGATGGGAACGGAACTCGACCAGGAGACCCTTCATATTGGCACGATTGAGAGATTCCAATGAGTCAGAGCGACCCTTGTCTTTAGGGTGTTCCTTCTTCACACCGAGCTCTGTTCCTAGCATTCTTGACGTTTGCACCTGGCAGGAAAAGGCTCAATGGCGGACGGCTCTTTCTCCCTAATACATACTTCATCTCAGATTTGATAAACATCCGCCAAGCCAGCCCCCATCCCATTCCACCCCATCCCTTTTCATCCCCTTTTCCCTACATTTAACATGGAATACGGTCATTCTGTGGAGAGAGTACTCCCATTCCGGGGCATATTTTCACAGTAAGAGGACCCAAGCCGCAGAGGACAACACGGAGGGCCCGTTAATATAGTAGATCCTAGGGAAAGACAGAAAGGACCGGTAGACAGCACAGCACAGATGATCCTGCATCACTCTACACTCAAGGGGAATGGTGCCTGATATAATGGACTTATCTGTGTCTGCGCTGCCTACCAGTCCTTTCTGTCTTTCCCTAGGATCTTCTATAATTATCCCGCTGCCGCAGCGCCGCCCATCACAGCCATACGCATCAACAAGCCCCAGAGCTAGACTAGAACTAGCAGTAAGGCATACGAGACCTACGAGACATACGAAAGCCAATACGGCGGAAATTTCACGGCCTTCGAAGACCTCGAGAGAACACAAAGACTCGAAGAGCCGTTGAACATTATCATCATATTCCGGTCAGAAAGTGACTTGACACATACACGTCGCCGACGGAAACCAAATTTCCCAGGGAACCACGAAGAAATCAAGGTCTCCGAATCATACCAATACAACGATGACAAGCTTGTGTCCCTATTATAAGAATTTACGGGAAAGAGGGATAGTACGGGCCAAGAACAAGCGGGAGCGAGGCGGATCGCGGACTTATTGAGCATCACTTCACTGAGGAAAACCCAGGATTTCAACTATATTGCTTGCAGTGGCCTTGGGTGGAAGTCTGGTACCTGCTGAGACGCCCGGACAGAATGAGGGTAAGATTGGGGGCCGGGGGCGGGGGCGGCTGTGTCCCCGCCAGTACTGTCAGGGGCATTTATACAAGTCGACCGATCGATGTCTGTCAGCCAGGGGTTATTGGACGGAGGCGGCCAGCCGGCGGTTATTAGAAAGGAAGACTGATGATGGTATACTTGGGTACTAACGCATATTAAGACCCTGAGCTAATCCCAAGTCTTACGGGAATCCGACTTGGATCTAGATAGTACACGGCCAAAAACACCAGCAAATTAACCCCACCGCCAAGAAGTCTCTGAGTGTGAAGCTAATCCTCCAAATTGCGTCCTGCTCACATTAGATGACCACAAGCCTCATCGGTTTACGAGTTGTGTCCGACAGACCATCGGTTGACCGACCGATGTCCAACACTGTTCCAGCCCGACACATAGCACATATTCCCCAAGAGATATCTTCCTAAATCCAATCAGCACCTTTTTGCGTCCTCATTTATACGAGGCTATCCCCGAGTACATTCGGGAGCAGACGGCAAAAACGGCGGACGGTATGGGTTCCTAAGGGGGTAAAGGGGCGTATGTACTTGGCGGTGGCCGGGACTTAGCATTATCTTGACCGCGGTTGGTCTGTGGTATGGGGGCTCGACATACTTGCTATAGATCATGTGTATTGAAACGGGGCACCTAGGAGGAGCAAATTTGACAATTAAGACGATCGGTTGTTTGCCTTTCTATGACCCTGCGTTGCATTATGTTTTTCCCTTTTCTTAGTCGTATAGCGGATGGCAACCTAATAGCCAATACGGCACCCCGGATATAAGGGTCGCCAGCAAGGTGGCAGCGGTATACAAGTAGGTCGACGCCGATGGTGTTAAACAGTGGCGGTCTTCTCTTCCTACCTGTATATAGCTTTACTTCCTGCTTCTATTCCAGTCGCTAATATATTCATATTGGCGTGTTCGATCTTTTATTTCGACTTTACCAATCCCGGTCGTAAACCGCAGCCGGTCTGGAATTAGCTGTTCTGGTCTACGATCAGGAGTTTGTCCGCTCGGTTGGTGTTTGTAGCGTTCTGGCTGCGGATCGCCAACTTTGCTGTTGCTTCTAAGTTCTACCGGTGGCCACCTATAACCCCTGAGCTATATATTCGAACTTCGTGAATATTGGTCCTACGACTTTGGACCACCGTCACTCGCTTCAGAATCCCCACAATCGGGAGTTTGGCCCCGTCAAACTGGTGGCGACAACTTGAATTGTGAAGCCGAAAAAGTCCTACGGAAGTGCTGGTGTGCGTACAGTCTCCGTAGGCGCAACCCTACTACTACTATTACGGCGGGTTGGGCTAGCTGTCGGCCAATGGCCTACCCGTCGTACCTATATAGGGGGTTGTCTCAGTACATATTCCGTATGTACGAAATCCATTGACCGTAGGTGGATTAGCCTCACCGGTACGAAATATAGCACCGGTAGTCCGCAGACCCGCTCAGTTCCGTTCCCCGGCCGGCTACGATTAGGCTACCGGAGCCGCGGAGTCATGCTAATAATCCTTTCCAGCCCCGGACGCCGAGCAATGTTCCTAAACGATACTTCATTAATCATTACCATAATCCATCCATCTCCGCCATTGCCGCCTCCTCGTCCTCGTCTACATCGTGATTCGCGGCTGTAGCTCCCCTATTCGTGCTAGGCCCATGTGACAGTTGTCCATCAGCGTGTGAACCCAACGCCTCGGCTTCGGCCATCAGTGCGTCTAAATCATCTTCGTCGCCGTCATCTGCCGCCGGCCTTGTCGTAGATCCGGGATTAGCCGGCTGAACGGGCTTTGCAGTAGACGCCTCAGCCTCGGCTTCAGCCATAAGCGCATCTAGATCATCCTCGTCCGGCTCAAGCTGTGCGTGCGCCGTCTTCCCATTTCCGAAGAGCGAGGTTGATGCTGTTCGCTGCGCCGCTTCTTCCGCCATTAGGGCCTCCAGGTCATCCTCATTAGGCTCGTCGTCTCTCGAAACATTCCCGTCATTCCCAAAGATTGACCCAGCCGCCGCCGCATTCGTCGGCCGCCTGGGAGTAGCATCGTAGATATCTTCGTCCGCAAACGGGTCCTCCCTAACCGGCGTCTTAGGACGTTCCCCAGAACCAGAATTCTGGAATACGGGAGCGAGCGGAGCAGGGAATACGGCGGGATCTCGCTCTTCAGGTTGATACAGATCTCCAAATAGGTCGTCGTTCTCTATCCCCGCGGGGCGCGGCCTTCCCTCGTTAATCCACTCCATGCGCTTTACTTGCAGCCGCTTCTTGTGCCCCGCCTTCTCTACCATGCCGAGCGCGTCGAGGAACTTGGCCTTGGGAAAGAGACCGTCCAGCCAGAGCTGGTAGAACGAGAGCAATCGGGCGGTATCCGAGAACTGTCGCGCCGTGAGTCACTTCCACGCCAACGGCAAAAGCAGGGGAGAGATAGGTCGCGTACCTCGTGCCCCTTGCCCTTGAAATGCAGATTTCGCGCTTTGCGCCGCAGCTTGGGTATTCCATTCTCTGATAGGAGCTTTTCCTCGTCTAGTTTGACTCGCGGTACCCTCGGCTTCTTGCTGACGGAGACGGCCTCATCGATACCCAGGCCATTGGCGTCTTTCCGTTTCTTTGACTGTTCCTCTTGAGCTGCTTCGCCCTCGGGTTCGGCGAAGGGTTGGACTACGTCGTCTAAGTCGTAGTCATCGATGTCGTTGAGTGGTTTCGGGGGAGGTGCCGCGGGCCTCTGTGCCAATCGCGAAGTCATGGTAGAATCCTTGTGGTGTGGTAGCCCGTTGTGTAAAACGGTGTTATTTCTGGCGGTTCATATAATCGACTTGCGAATAGTAAGGTATTTTCTAGTATCCTGAGCTTGCTGGGTGTTTGGACGCGTTTGAACCCTCACGAAAGCGCGTCGAGCCCGTAAATGGATCCTAAATTGGTGGGGCTATTATTATGGGCACGACCACCTGGGCATCTGACTTAGGTGGTCCGTGCTCATGTGGCCGCCCCACCTGAATGACCCACCGGGCACCGCTTACCTAAGCTTCGTTACCCCCGGAACTTCACGATTCGAAGCTCAAGATTCAAACCTCATACACAATCGGAGCTTGGTGGGCAGCGGGCAATTGACTCCGAACGATATGGCGACCCCCCAACAAACCTACATTCCCAGCAAGGTCGTCAAGACCGAGTTTCCCGTCGGTTCACCCCGCTGTATCCCTGCCGAGTAATGTCCAAACGTGCTAATCGTGCTGCGCTTGTAGCTCATCGACAATGACCCGTACGTAGACAACGATCGCCGTCCTCGAACCCGCGGCCCACAATATTGACCATCGATAGGCACTTCAAGAGAGTTGTAGGATACGCCCGCACATCGGACTATGTCCACGGTATCGCTGCTACCGCCGCCGGCCCCGGTCTCCTATACACCATGGAGCGCTTGGCCCCGTCACATGTCGGCCGTGGGGGCTTCGCCCAGGCGATGCGCCTCACCGGTGCCATTAGCATCATCGGTGGTTTCCTATATTTCTACCAGCGGTCATGCTGTACGTGCCAAGCCATACCGTTCCCCTATACCCGCCCGACCACGCAATGGACACGCCCCCGCATTATATTACAAGATGGTGATATTAATCTATAACCGGGATAACAGTAAGGTTCTACGGCATGTCCGAAAACGCGCGCGAAATCGATCTGGACATGAAAGAGATGGTGGCCAAGGTCAAGGCCGGCGAGCCGCTATACGGCGAGAGCAAGTTGACGCCGCACATGCAGGGTGTCGCGGCCCGGCAATCGCGCTACTCTGTTCTCTTCACCTCCGTCCTCCCCTGGTTCAACTTCGTCAATCACAATCAGCACGGCGTCGACACCGCCAAGT